TATATATATATATATATATATATATATATATATATAGATACTGTTTCTTTTTTATGGTGCTACACGACACGAAAGTAAAGTTAGTTTCTGAAAAAGCAATTTTCTTCAACAGAACATGGTTTGTAATAATTTTTCAAGTGTCATTCTAAGCTTTGAAGAGAAATGATTGAATATGAAATAAAGACTTGGATCGTTGGGTGACATACAATATCTTAGATATTGGTTTCTTAAAGCCGAAGAAATATCCTTTTGCCTCTTCTATATTAATTTCTCACATCTGCATTGGCCTGTTTACAAGATAAGAAAATAAAAAATGAGATTCAATACTTACAACACCCTTAAGTATTTCCTAATAGATAAACGTTTCTACCATAAGCCCTATTTCAGGTATAAGGTGATTTTTTTTCTTTTCTTATATATAACAAGGAGCTGTACGGTTTGACGTGATATGTCATTTGAGAAATAAATCATATAGACGTGTTTGCATACGATGTGTTTGATACGTTCTTGGTGATCTGTTGACAAGCAGATTACAAACATTTCGGAAACATCACTGCAAAGTTTTGTTACATGGGATAGTGAATTACTTTTATGGTAGCATTTTCCCTTGAAACCTAGAGGTGACTATATGTGGTCCAGTAACCGTTTCATCAGGGATTTTCACTATATTTTGACAGTATCTGACATTGATGTTGCTTACGATATATAAGATTATTTTTAAGTACTTCATTTCCTACATCCCAAAATTTAATCTCGAAGGTTTTACCTACTTTTCTAAGATCTGCAAAATATGGAATTGACAAAATCGGGTAAAATGGGATTTAAGAAAACGTTAACAATAATATTTATATTTATAAATTTAATATTTATAAATTGCTAAAGAGTTTTACTATTCGAAAGTTATGAAAGTAGAAATCTAAATGTCATAGTTATCATTTTAATTACCATAAACCTTTGATAGAAAGAAACTACCAACATAGATCAGAACTAAACATGATTCCAGTGAACAAGGTAGCTAATAATATATACTAGTATAACTAGGACTATAGAATATCACAAAAAAAAACATAACGATTAGAATGCGTTGATTCATCATTTGGGTGTTATCGATATTACCGTGTCTGTCTATTCATGTAGATATTCAAAACATTACCTGTTGTCATAAATACATTGCTTTTCACATTCATAAATCAGTACAAGTGACAAGCTATAACGTGACTTCTAAAGCTAATATAAGTCCTAGAGATTTATAAGTATTAAATCTAAACAAAAATAATAATAATCACGGATTCTTCGTCCATAACAAAATAAATGAACATCCTAGTAATCTTAAACAATTACAAAATAAAAAAAGCATATATATAGCAACATGAGTTATGCACTTTATTATAATGTTACTGATTCGTGATAATTTCAAGGGTTAAAACTGTTTTCACATAAAATTTACATAAAATAGCGACAGTATTTATTCTAATACAATAATCAGATATGATATATATACATACCAATATACACTTTTTTCGTACAGACATTTAACCTTTGAATGAATGTTGGAATTAGAAGACAAATATGATAATCGTTTATCTTTACAATTTTTGCCAAATAACACATATTCTGTTACAATAACATAAACTTGAAGTATAAGGCCATTTTTCTGAGCGTTAAGATAAAAGTGCAGTGACATACGAAATCCTCTTGTCAGCTAGTTAGACTAAACCAAATTCTTAATATCTAGTGAACATAAAATCTTTTTTGTTGCAAAGCATGTTTTATAATGCAGTGCATTAAATACATCCACTAAGCCGATACGTGTTGTTTGTAAACTAAGTTAAGATTCTATGAACTAACTTACCGAACTGAACCTTTTGTAGTCAAGTCGTTTGAATTTATTGTTATGCAGAAAGGCGGTAGTGTAATCTCGACTTTTCATTCCTATGGGTCCAATATTTCTAGAATAAACCGCGGACTCCTCAACTGTAATACGTGTCGAAGTAAACGTCATTACCTCCGCCAACGAAGATAAAGGAGATTATGTTTCACCCCTGTGTGTGTGTTTGTTCTCAAAAACGGCTCAATAGATTTGGACGAAATTGGGTATACATTTGGACTATAATTCAAGTTAGAAGTGACAAGCTTTTGGTGTGTCATAGGTAAAGGTAAACTCAAAAAATCCCTATCTGTTAACATGGAGACAGATTTTCACACTATTTTTTGCTCTGTAACTCAGACAAAAATTATTGGATTTTGATGAAACCTGGTGGACATATGTAGAATATTATTCCTCATTTTCCTGCCAAAAATGGTCTGTGTCCGTTGATAACGACGGACATATGGACACATTATTGTTTGTTTTTTTGAGAGCCGAATATGACCAACGCTGTGTAGCAGAGGTATGCGCTCTACTGGGTTTCCCTCTAATTTGAAGAAAGTTTATATATAGTAAAATCTAGTGTTTTGTACTTCAAAGTGAATTTTTAACAGAAAATAATAAAAGTTGTGATGTCCAATTCAATGCTATGACAAAACATAAATTATAATTGTTGTTATTTATTTCACTTTGTGTCTACAATAGAAAGTTTGAAAGTTTACATATGCGAATGGATTTCATCTGCAGTAGGCCATTCATTTAGGAAATCGTTTCATAAATCATAATATTAGTGTTACTATATTTAGATGGAGTCAAATAATGTTCCATGGGGTTTTATAACTAAAGGGTAAAATCAGACGTAACAATGAAACCAGTGCTATATAAGCTATAATAAACTGAATATTGTCTTACTATGTATTTCTTTCGTTTTCACACAAAAATGTCTGGGGTTTGAATACTTTGCATTTACATGAAATCATATTTTGAAGAACCTGTAGTTGTAATACAAGTTGGTGTATAAATAATTATAAAGTCAAATTGTACTACACTGTAGTAAGTTAATATGCTAAATAAAATAGAGTTTGAACATGTTATTTATAAAGTGACACACACAGTCCATTTAAGGAACACGTAGTTTTATGTTGAATTAATGTATGCTTTATAGCATGATGCATAGGAGAAATGCATAAAGTTTGAATGTTTGTATGCTAATTTCGAAAATACACAAATAACAAAACATGTTGTAACAAAATGATAATTTTACTTATTCAAATATCCTATACGCTATACAAATACTTAAACTGTAATAAATGAAATATTAATTTTACCTTTCCAGAAACTTTATTTATTATCAATAATGAAGCGAAATTATAAAATTCACCTTTAACGATGACGTAGAAACTAATATTGTGTTAAGAACTATAGAGAATTAAATAGTAGTATTCTTGTTGTATAACATCTCGCAACTTCGTATTCATGATCAAATAAGTTCAACAGCATCCTCTGGTAGATTTCTCGCGAACTACATACCAAAATAGTTGCCTGCATGCATAGATCTCATGTCCATTTCTCTAGTGACGGGACTATATTTTCCCTGACTCCACTTTGTCATACTATTCGCTCTCTAGTGGTGCACTTTGGAGCTTTCTACTCTCTAGCTCCACTTTGTGGAACTTTGACGTTACGTGGACCTCCTGGTCTCAAGGTATGCCCCCACTGGGCAGCAACATTTGATCTCCCATCCCCTTCATGTCCTTAGGTGCTGGCATCTTTTGGACGGAGGTTAGACTGGTTAAACTACCAGGATTTCTTAGTAGTGCTTTATTTCCACAATTGTTGATATTTTAAGATTAGTCATTAACAGCTCGCAGAGATAAAAAGATTAAAATAACTATTAATAAAAAACAATAAATATATATTACATTTGGAAATGTGCTTACAATAAAGAATTTTTTGTGACTTCATATAATAAATAAATAAATAATACTATGCGATAAAACTTCCAAAAATTTAAAACCTTAAAATAAACTACATTTTTCGAGAAGACTCGGTTCTATAATTTAGTTATAACAAAATTTTAGAGATCAGTTTATTTCTATCAAAGCAAACTGAAATTTTGCTTGCAAAAAAATATTTATTGTTAACAGTTTGCAACGTGTAAATCATCGGTTCGACACACAGATTTGTGATAATAAGTAAGTGTTGAGAGTTAGCTTTTAAAAGCAACATCTCAAAGTTATACGTATCGTTCACGCTTCTTTCAGCGAACCTATATAAGTTTTGGTATATGATACATCCTTAATTAATTAAAACAGACTGTTTGTTTTGTATTTATAGTAAACCCAGATTGAGTTCTTTCCTGTGTCCACCGCGGAAAACCGAACTCTGGATTTTAGCTTTGCAGCTCTGTAAAGTTACCGCTGTCTCGTCGAGGGGGGGGGGCATTTAAAACCTAAAAATATCATACGTGTGTACACAAACTTTGACACACTATGGAACATTTATCAAAGTAAGTTAAAAAATAGAAACACAGAAAAATGATAAATAAATTCATTACACTCAAGCTACATCTGGAACCATTCATTGTTGTTTTATGTATTTTCTGAAAGGAAGTGCCTTTGAATTAAAATTTCAACTAGGTATAACTGAATCTTTTTTTTTTTAATTAGGTGTGTGTGTGTGTATATATATATATATGCATATACTTACATGTAGTCTGAATCTGAATTTCCTGTGGGGCCGTCAGGCCAGATAAGAAGACAGAGTGTCCTGGATGTTCCGTCTTGATAAGTATAGCTAACAGTTGTAGAGTATAGCAGAGTCGGTAAGGACAAAAGTGCACTGCTTAGCCAAACCACTACGATAGCAAAAATCGCTGCCTTCTTTGTCATCCTCGGTAATAAAGGATGCAGAGTTACAACGTATCTGCAAGAAACAGATAAGAAACGGACTGAAATGCAGATTTATAAAACTAAATAAATACAAATAGTTAATTTTTTATGAATTTGGAGTTCTTTAAGCTCTACATATCAATTAAAGGTTGTACTTTTTTAACCTTCTCTACTTTTATCAAGGTATTTCTGGAAGTTTGTCTGGATTTAATATTGGATTCGGTTTTATTTGTATATCTTTGAATTTGATATAATTTCAATTTATGTGTTTATTGTGTGTTTAGTAGCAAGATTTACGTCTATGCGAAACACGTTTAGAGGAACTGGGATTAGGCAGTCATCTTAACTTTGAATGCAATTTTCACCAAATGAGATGAAAGTCATGAAAAAGCAAAAAGTTTTAAAATGAACTTGTTTTGTTATTAATGTCACTTCTTGTTAAACGAAAGATGGGATTTAAACTTTTTGTTAAATTAAAGATTGGATGTAGACTTCTTGTTTTATTATTAATGTCATTTCTTGTTAAAATAAAGATTGAATTTCGACTTTTTATTTAATTATTAATGTCAATTCTTGTTAAAATAAAGATTGAATTTAGACTTTTTATTTTATTATTAATGTCAATTCTTGTTAAAATAAAGATTGAATTTAGACTTTTTATTTATTATTAATGTCAATTCTTGTTAAAATAAAGATTGAATTTCGACTTTTTATTTCATTATTAATGTCAATTCTTGTTAAAATAAAGATTGAATTTAGAGTTTTTATTTTATTATTAATGTCAATTCTTGTTAAAATAAAGATTGAATTTAGACTTTTTATTTTATTATTAATGTCATTTCTTGTTAAATGAAAGACTGGATGTAGACTTCTTGTTTTATTATTAATGTCATTTCTTGTTAAATGAAAGATTGGATGTATACTTCTTGTTTTATTATTAATGTCATTTCTTGTTAAATGAAAGATTGGATGTAGACTTCTTGTTTTATTATTAATGTCATTTCTTGTTAAACATTTTAAATGGTTCGATAAAACGGATTCACGGGTTGAAGTCAAATGGTCCCCATCTAACTCATAACAACTGCAGTTTAAAATAATTGAATCACTCAGATCGTCAATTAACTGTTCCCATAAACACTGTACTGGCCAAAGAAGCGATAAAAGATTTTACCGAATGAAAACTGAAATTCGTATATTAATATTTACGAAACCGAAACGGCAAAGTTAGGAGACAGAGATCCTATGAACCGGAACAACAAACCGAATACGGACATATTCCGGGCGTAAACGGGGAAGTGAATACTTCGTGTTCCTATGACGAAATATAAACAAAGATATACATGTAATGCGTATACGAACCGAACCGAGGAAGTGAATTATATATATTGTAAGAGACAAAAACCTTTAAATTATCAATATGATGCGATACTTGAGTCCCATTAATAGTGAATAGTATATGACCAAATCAGTAATTTGAGGGTTAATGTAATATTTGACTTGTTTGACAGAATAAATCTCGTAAATATCATACATGTGTGTTTAAAGGTTGATAAAGAAAGAAATTAGGAATTACATTTTTAAATCGCTCAGTATCCCACGCTTTGAAGACAAACAGTAGGAAAATAAAATAATTCATCCACAAGAAATCATTATCTGATAAAGTGGTTCAGAAGATGAATTCAGCATAAAGCTGAAAATGGTGTTTGTAAGCAAAAAAAAAAAAAAAGGGAGGAAAAATATATAACAAACGATGTTATTATGTCCAAAAAATTTACTTAACCCACTCTGCAAGAATTAAGTATTTACACGTCTTACATCAATGATCCTAGACTATAAGTCTTAAAAAAATAGAAGTTTTTGAGGGAAAAATTTCTTCGTTGTTTTAGGGCAAAGTCACATTGAGCTATCTGTTATGTCCACATCGAACCCCCGATTTTAGCGTTATAAGTCCATAAACTCACCGCTGTCATACTGGGGGACTTGAGAGAAAGTAACTAGTTCAGTGAAGGTATGTGTTCTGATTCCAAGAAAAAGATCAGTAAAAATTAATTTTTTCAAGTTGTTGATTGTTTGTGTTATCATTCTGTGTGCGACCCTTAATAAGAATATTTATGTGGCACGATAGATACTTTGGACATTTTTAATGTTAGCCTGATGAAGCAATTATGTAAATTTAGCCTAACTATGAAGAACGATTTGTTGTGTTACTTGAAGATCTTTTTTTTTTATACTGGGGAGGGTCTCACTACAACCCACACTGTATATTCTGATTGCCCGTTACATTTATAACCTTACTTATAAATATATTTGAATTTTAAAGTAACGGACTCGACAAGTTTTACTAAGATGGTATGTTGTTTCAAACTAAATATTAATGTATATGCAGTTACAGGTCATGGTACAAACAAGCAAACACGTCCAAAATGTGTAATAATCTATAAAATTTGGATGCAAATAGCAGTTTACGTTACAACAAAAATGTATCATAATACATTACTTTTATTTATAGATTTTTTTTGTTTTCAAGCTAAGCAGCAGATCAAAGACCACAATGATAGAAACACAGCGGTCCCTAACGTTGAACTGGGAACCAGAGGCAAGGGAATCAATCAGCAGTACTCGCCTCCTGTAGCGGCAACTCTAAACCAAACAGCAATATTGACTGTTGCTCTTATTACGCATCTACAGCTGCAAGTGCAAAGCGTGTTAGTAGCAACAAATTTTGGGCTCATAACTCTCGAAGTCCTAGTTCCATGGCTAACCATTGGCCACACTTGGGTTCTTTAATTATTGAAATAATTCTCTTCTGTAGTCAAGAAAATATTTCTTTGAAGCTCAAGAAAAGGCAGGTTACCAATGTTTAAAAGCAAGAGCAAGCACGTGCGTAATTACAACAGTCGATTTAGCGAAAACCATAAGGATTTTGTTTGTTGAAAAAAATCGATTAAAATCCAAGAAAATAAAGTCTCTGAATGCCCAGATGTACACTAACTAAGAATGAGAGAATCTAAACTAAGTACACCGTCATTTTCTTTGTTCTAATTGTGTCTCATTACACGACAGTGTGGATATATATCTACTTGATAACAAGTCCATTCCAAGTTAAATCTCTTTGTAACAAACGCAAAGTTTTAAGCTCTTACGTTGCCTATAAATGTGTTGTTTAGTTTGGAAGTTATCAAACTTTGAAAATAGAAATATAATTCGATGAGATTTATTTAGCACTTTAACCAATAATAAGCAAAATGACTTTCGTAGAAAACTATTATTCTCCTAATAATACGTAGACAAACAGCGATTTATAAGCATAAGGGAAAATTTTATTGATGGTGGCACATACTAAATATTTCGACAAAACATTGGTCTATTGTTTGTCTACCTATCATTATATTGCCATAATGTGCTTCCTTATTCAACTACTTAACTATTATTCGCTTGTTTATTCAAAACTAGTAAGAAAGCAGTGAAATTCGAATAACAGGAAAATGCACTGGCACACCACACACTTAGAAGTCAATATTGAGCAGGAGTAGATTGTGACATTGTTCTCTGAAGAAATCTACGATGTCATATGCTTGATTGAATTTTGCTGAAGCCTAAAAAATATGATGATATACCACTCTTGACTGCAGTGTCCTCTTATGTTCCCATAAGTCGCTTCATTGGAGGTAAGAGTCCAGAAGTGGGAAGAAATTACAAGAAATTCATAAGCCTTCTTTTATGCCTCGTCAGTCAAGCTTTTTTGCAACATAATATTCATTTCTTTTATTCTTCTTCTACTTCCCTTCCCTTCAGACGAATTAATTTGTCTTGATTAGAATGTAAGATCCCGCAAACAAAGACAAAGAACAAATAAGTCTTTATATCTTGTCTCATCTTAATTTCTTTGTTATGAACTTTGGGTAACATGCTTGCCATAATAAAGTAATACACAAAGTATACTGTCACGGACATCAATCAAACAATTACTCCTCGTTATAACATGCATACAGACAAAAATGATAAAGATGTCGTAATTCTTATTTACTTTGCTATGATAAATATTTCACGCATAAATTCCGAATGACATGTATGTAAGAACCAAAGTTTTTAACTGGTTAAGGACACTTCGTGAAAACTGCACCAAAACTCCGTTTTTCTGTTTGAGCTGTGTGATAAACCCTAAAAAGTGGTACGTGAAAATGACATTGTTACTAATGGAAATAGTCGAGATAAAAAAAAATGAAAATCTCCAAAAGTGATTTTAACTGCTACAAAATATGTTCTTTATGAGAAAGACAATGTTTATGAGCAGATCTTGCGAACGACCTTTTTGCAAATATAGGTGTGAAAATTACCTTGATAAGAATAAATTACACATTATAAGGAACAGTAGCTGCTCTAAAACCCCTATAAAGAAGAGACAACCAAAATTAAGGGTTGATATTAGCATCGGATCACAAACTGTAGAATGAGCAAAGCTGAAGATGAAGCTAATCATAGTCAAGGTACAACATCTATAGTGAAGCGTGGTGATGGGGGGAGCAGTACAAGTAAAACTGAATTTAATCATGAACTACGATAATGATTCATTAATAGGGATCGCAAGGAATCGCACAAACTTTAATAGAACGTTCGGGCAATAAGGCACCTAAAACAGTAGAGATTCAGTTGAAACAACGCTTTAAGACATTTACTATTGACTGCTAAGGCTGTACACATGTAAAACTTCACAAAAAAGCACGCATGTTAGATTTAAAAGGAATAGAAAATCCGCTCAAAACGGCCTGTTTGTAATTCTTCTCATTATTATTATTATTATTCTCTTGTTGGACCACAACAAAAACAGCTTGGTATATTGTACCCAAACCTTTTGTAGAATACTAGATAAGGTA